CAAAATGCCGGTAGAGGGCAGTTTGGACACCACTGGGTCGCTTGGCTGCTTGCTCCTGTATTCGGGAGTCGGGAAGACCTTGATCTTGCCCATGCTTTACCCACAGCGCGAGGCAGCAGGCGTGGAGGCCGCGAGCGCATACAGAAAAACGGATTGCAACTCGCGAACATGGAGCAGTGCCCGGTGCAGTATCTTCGAAAATGCAAGCTTTCCATCCTGCAGAAGAGCGGCGAGACGAACTTGACCATGGACCTTGGGGTGCTGCGCTTCATCGACACAATGAGTTTTTGTAAGGCTGGGTTAGGCAAGCTCATCGAGTCTCACAGAAGAGCGGTACTCAAACCCGACGTCCTCCGGGGCAGGAGCGAGGTCTCAAGTTTGGAGGAATCCTTCCCGCTGACAGCTTTGAGACACCCCTTCTTGAAGAATGCTGGTGATGGCGTTTGGTCGGCGCTTCTGAGGAAACTTCCTAGGCCGTGGGATTTCTTTGTGGATTGCGGCGACTTCAACAAACCTCCTGTGTGGCCGGCGGCCTTCTACCACAGCAGGCTTTCCGGGGAGTGCTCGGAGTCGGACTACCAGTTGCTGCAGGAGACGTCGGAGTTCATGGGTTTCGGCAGCTTCAAGAATGTTTTCGACGCATACCTGGCCTTAGACATCACTGCCTACGCCGACCTGATGCAGATCTTCAGGCTACACTTCTTCGAGATGTGCCACCTGGACCCGTTCCTCTATCCCTCACTGCCCTCGGCGGCTTGGGATGGGGCGCTTCGTAGCATCAAGCACCAAGGAGGCAGACCGTTCCGACTCATCACGGACTTCGACATCTACAAGGACGTGAAGAAGGCCATGATGGGGGGCTTGTGCGCGGTATTCCAACCGAGCTTTGAATCCAACTTTGAAGGCTTGGACGGGTACGACCCTCAACGTCCTGTGAAGCGGTGTTTGTATCTGGACATCAATTCTGGATGCATACGAGGAGCTGGACCGCGCACGTACTCCATGATCTTGTCAAAGATGGGCTTGCGGCCTTGAATCTTCATCCACAAACCCACATAAGCGTTGCGCCAATGGCCTAGGGGTCTGCAGTACTCCTTGGTGAGCTGGAAGGCCTTGTCATTCATCACACGATAGGTTTTCTTCTCCTCCAGGGTGATCTGCATCTGGTGGTTTGTGGACCGCAGCTGGACAGAGCTGTCGTACCTGACGGCATTCTCGCTGTGGATGCGGAGGTACTCGTCGTGCTTGGTGCGCTCACGAATGCTCCTGGCAACACCCTTGGCCTTCTGAACCTGCTTGTCCTTGCTAAGGAGGATGCTGTACTTCTTGACGCCCAAGCACACCACGCTGAGGATCTTGAGCCCACCGCACTCGTCAGCCAGAGCTCCAAGTTTACCCCTCAACTCCTTCAGCCTGTCCATGGAGGGTTTGGAAATCACATCCCTGTAGATCAGCTCGAATTCCGCCACTTTGGCGTCACCAAGGAGGTCCAGTTCCACAGGGAGGTCGAGGTTGGCCTGCGCGAGCAACGGTACTGGGTCCTCGGGGCCGATGATCTCCAGGGCGATGCTGTCGGTATCCGTGAAAAGCGGCACCATCCTCGGGAGCACGGATTTTAGTCCCACCCAGTACTTGATGGCCAGATCGAGCTTGGACTCTTCCAAAACAGCCCAACCGACTTGCACCGGGCTGCGATTCACGTTCTTGTCGGCGGCTCGAACTCGCCGCACGGTGGCCATGAAGGCGTCGGGCTCAAAGATCTCCGTGTTGAAGTCCGCAACGGCGCCGTCAACCTGAGCCCTGCTGAAGGAGATCGGGTCGAAGTAGTGGGTGCTGTTTCGGTAGCGCTCCTGATTCTGGACGGTCTTGCCGTAGATGCTGTTGACCGTGAGCTTCACGAAGCCTTGCTCGGTGTTTCGACCTTCGTCCTTGAGCTGCCTCCTGTAGGCATACGCCTGCTCCATGAAGTTCTTCAGGACGGGCCAGGTGTCGAAGCTGTAAGCCCTGTGAACTTTCCAGACTCGGGCACCCAAGTGGTTGCGAAAGAAGGCCAAGCTTGAAGTGGATGCCCTCGCAGCGGTGGGGGCCAAGAAAAGGAACCAACTTCTCGGAAGGCTGGAGACCGCGCATGGCCTCTTTCGTGTAGGGCCCCACTTCTTCAACAGGCACCAACATTCGGCAAGGAGAAGGAAAGTCGAGGGCGTCGTGGAGGTCCTCGGGGAAGTCGTAGTCCACGAAAACCAGGTAGATGGTCTGCCAACAGTCTTCAAGCGGGTCGGCGTCAAGCAGGTTGTGGAGCCATTTCAGTTTCTCCTCCTCGCCGTCCGGGAGCAGTACCTTCGAGCCTGAAGTGCAAGGCAGGAACTTTGTCATGGCATGGGGGTAGAATGGGGTCAGCCTGTCAGGGATCTGATTAAGAAGATGCGTGGTGGTTTTTAGTAGTTTGAAGCTTGAGGAGTCTGTTGCAGGCGTGTGCGCTTGTTGCAAAAAGCCGGTATTTGTAAACAGCACTCCTGTAATGTAAATGTCCCCTGCAACCGTCTCCGAATTTGCTTTGAGTGCCTGGTGCAGTGGACAGCGTAACCAGGTTGTACAGCAAAGCTACAGCAGCTATGTCATTCATGTGCAGGGTGCAGTTTTTACCGCCATGTGTGCTTGACACGTAGGCAGGCTGCCCGTTGAGGTGCATGTTGCGATATGAATTCAAAGATCAGTACAGTACAGCCGTTCAAGATTTGAAGCACTATCATGCTTCCAGATAGTTCTTGAACTTCAGAAGCGCAGTTGCTCATGCGGCCTTCCCAAAATCAGCGTGAGTGTCAAATCATCGGCGGCAGCCTGTCAGCTTGAGCTTGCTGCCTACGCCTCTGCCTAGTTTGCACCTCTAAGCCCCTAGCCGACATTCTCGTTTGCAGAAACCTTCCTGATGTCCCTCCTGACCAAAGGTTCGGGCCAGCCTTCCAGGCGATAGCGCGGGCCCAAGCTGCTGTGCTCCACGCCCAAGACTCTGTACACCT